AAAAGCAACAATAGTAAAACAAAAAGCGCGTATTCTTAGCATATTTCGTTGTCACGTGACAACGACGATAAATGGAAAACGCTTTAACGGAACGCCGATAATTCCCGCGATAAACAACAGCACCACTCACCATTTACCGATTTACCAACAACAATTTACTTAATATATTATTTTAAACGCGCATTTACCTTCGAATCCTCTTAAATACTAATTAGCAATGATAATAATAATAATAAAATATACGTAACGCAGAGAGTGAATTGGTTTGTCATGCAAAAAAAAATAATGAAAATAAAACGATGACTTACGTCGTGGATTCGGTTGAAATCCAGTTGTTATCAGTTTGTAAAACTTTTTCCATTCGCAAACGCATTTCCGTGTTCAGAATCAACCGGGAATTTTATGCACGCAATGATAAGAAGAAACATGTATATTTACATGTAAAAATTAATTACAAATGTATAGAAAAAAAAACTTATTGCTTAACAATTACTTTTGTTTCAGTCGAAGTGCCGACGGGATGTCAGAAATGCACGGCAAACGAGAAAAACTACTGTCTGAGCAGCAATTTCATTGCGGATCATTGCTGTTGCGATAGGAAGCATCACGGTGAGAGAGAAACAATTATCATTATTATAATATAGAATTACCAAACATCAATGTATCATTTCGTGTGCACAAAAAGAAAACATGTACAACTTAATCAAGAAAACAACATTAACGATAAGTTATAAATAGAAATGAATTGCCGATAAATGCTATTATTATTTTGCATGATCGATGCAATTTTTAGAAATTTCGAATACGAATGTATACGCGAATAATAAAATACCTAGAAGTGAATTCTAACGGAAGCAATGTAAATATGTAATGGAATATTCAAATTTTACATCTCGATATAGGCAACTCAAAATGCACGATAATAATGAAATCTTCACCGACTCTATTGTTTTTTAATTACAGAGGTTCTACCGTACGTCCCACATACCTGTTACCTGGGACCGAACCTTTGCTCGACGATAATCGGCGATTGCAACGCGTACGAGAGGCTCAGGCGGTGCTGCTGCGAGAAATATGTTTTCGAAAAGTGTAAGTTAAAACTAATTTCACCAAGATTTAGCTCAGTAATCAAGTGATTTGTGTTTGTGTTTCAGGGAAAGAAAAGTCATCGGGGACGTCGACTATAGCACCACTTGGACTGTTGCTAGCGCTGACTGCGAATCTAGTTATCTTTGTACAAATCGCTTAATTCAATCGCTTGGATGTAATATATTTTATGTGAAGAGATAAACACATAATGATTAACACTATGTAAACGCTTAACCTGTTATATATATATATATTAAAAAAAAAGAAACTTTGTTGAAGAAAATATTATATAAACGAAATTGACTTATTTACATGGAAACCTTAATTGCCTTATACAATTGGAAATAATTTGCATGCAACATCGTCGTTAAGTAACCGTTAAAATTTCGCGAAATATTTATACATCAACAACGTGAAATGAAGGAGAATGCAAAATAAAAGTTGATATAAATTCGCAACGGTACATTGAAGAATCGACACGACACTATTCATTTATAATTATTTCGATATCTTTTCCTTCTTTTTAGGTTGTTGATGAAGTTGTTGTTTGAATGCAGGAATTCCTAGATTCGCAGCTTACTGTATACGACGCCTACTCGAACACACGCACACACGAAATGAACCCGGTTTACAGTTAGCATTGGCCAATCTCGATTTTTCGAAGACACCGACGAAACCAGTCTTCTTCGAGCGCTCCCTGACCGCACATCAAACAACAGCAACAATAAGATGACGATGATGATGTTCACGGCTGTGGTGTGCGTATTGCTTGCGACCGCAATTCCTTTGACGCAATCTGCAGGTTCGCTCGCAGCAGTGTGATGGAGATGTTGATGATGCAGACGCATCGCAACTTACCTGACTTAATTATTAACGCAATTCTCTGTCGCAGTGGTTTTCAGCAACGAGGTGGTGAGTCCTGCTACGACGTACATGGGGGTTGCTAGGACGCCGTTCGTGGATGCCCTGCGACGTCGCTGTCCGCTGTGCGATTCCTCCGTCTATCCGTACTGCAGCGAGAAGCTGTTCCACGACTCGTGCTGCTGCCACAACCCCAACAATGCCTACGGTAAATTCGATTAATCAGTTTGAAATGGATGCAAAATTTTATGTTCTCTCTATCTGTTTAGATCGCCTTCCTTACGAGTGCCAGTACGCAGACTGTTCATTCCTGCACGCCAACAGCTGCCAGGAACATAAGCTCATCTCGGCCTGTTGCTGCACCAATCTTTACCTGCACAAAAAATGATCATCATAAATATGTTTAAGTCTTCTTCTAATTTATTCAATTATTTAAATGAAAAAAAAAATAAAATAGATCTTTAGAGAAATTCGTCGCAATTCGTGTTTCATTTATGTACATTTCCGAATCGTCGAAACAAACGAACACTGTGACGCGTAAATTGTCAGGTCTGAAATAACAGCAGAAGAAAAGGATGGACGAGAAGACGCTCTTCGTGGAGAACATCAAGGCCAGAGTGGTGGAAAACGCGATGAAATACCGCGGCGACAGTCTGCAGAGTTCCATCAACTGCAGCCTGCGATTTGCAAGAGAACATGCCGAGTACGAAGATTTGGATGGAAAAAAGGGCATCACCAGTCTGATCTACGAGATGAACGAGTTCTACGTGGAGATGGCGAACAGACTGCGCGTTCTTAGCGAGGATTTCGGACGTGACGAAGACGACGACGATAAGAAGGAAGCGCAGTTTGTGGAAGAGGACGCCGCAAGCGTCTTCTCCGAGGAGCTGGTGGATTCGCTGCAGCGGTACGGCGACCCCGACCAAATTCGGAATCAGATTGAAGAGATCAGGAGGCTCGAGGAGCAGGTGGCGCACAGCTTCAAGCAGCTGGAAGTAATTTTAAATTAACATTAACTATCTCTCTCACTATCTATATCTCATGGTTATGGTAGAGGGAGAAAAGCGAGCGGAAATTGGTGGAAAACGAACTGTGCGAAATGCTGATGGCCGAAGGAGTCGAAGACAAGGACGCGCAAATCTTCCTGCGGATGTGTTGCGCGAGAAAGACGGAAAAAGTTCAAAGGACGAATAAAGATGAAGAAAAGGAAGAAGCTGCAGATGCAGCGGCAACGACGAGGCGAAAGGGCGACTTCGAAACGAAATTCATCAGGCGTAACATGGACGTAAGTAACTACAGTAAATATCGATTAAATAATATCTCACCCCGGCTGCTATTCTCGCGTTGTACATTGAGAATCATTTAGTTGGCGAGGAATATCAGGCCGATGGTGAGCTTCAGCATCACCGACGAGGAAAAGATCAAGCTCGAGTCGTTGCTCTCCGATCTGGGTAAGTCTGTGTTAACTGTACAAAAGCCAACTCGAAATATTTCAATATTCTTCAACTGCTATAATCCAGAAATCATCGAGATGGCGGGCGAAACAAATGCACGTGATGCCTTCGCGATGGGAGTCGTGGATTCGAATCGCCTCGAAGAACTGGAACTTGAATTGAATGTAGGAATTGATAAGTTGAAGCATACGCAATAATTACCGATTATAATCATCATCTTCATTTCTCTGCTTATCGCAGTCTCTTAAAGTCGAGAACGACGATTGCGTCCAGTGTTGTTTCGAGGTGATTGAGGAAAACGAACGCGAAGGAAAGTTCTGGAAGACGGAGCAACGGCTGCGAAAAATCGACGAGGAACTTAGGAGTTTTCAGGAGGAACGAGAGAAGCAGCAGCAGCAGCAGATCTTCGAGTCGGTCGAGCAAGAAGAGGAGATCGACTGCGAGGAGGATCATCAGCAAAAAGAGGAAATCCGCACCGCCGACAACGATCAACAAATAAACAATTAAAACAAATGTAACTGTCGTCGCCAACGGAAGAACAAAATTAAACAAAAAAAAAATCAAGTTGTTACTCATTTCTACCAACGTGGCAACGTTAAACTATACGCAGAGTTGTTCGTATATGCAACACAGTATACCCAATTAATTTATGAAATATAATATGCAAAATAGAAAATATTTATGTAATTGAACTGAACTAAATATGTTTCGAATTATTGTAACGATTAACGATCGTGTTACGTTCATTCATTCATTCATTCATTGTTGTGTTGATCACCGATGACAAATAGGTGACAATCAGTGACAATCGAATGTCAAAATAATTTCGCGCCGGTTTTCGATCAAAAGTAAATATTTTTTTAGTTTGGTTTTGGGTTAGAGGACGACGAGAGCAAGCGTTTTGTTGATTTACAATAAATAATAGCTTTAGATGGATAGAAAGAGGAACGTTCTCTCGCAGATGAACGGTCGCGAGGAGAGCAAAAAGAGGACGAGTACGAACGAGGAGAGACCCTCCAAAAGGCACAAACCTACACCTATGCAGAACGTAAGGGGATTCTCGTTGGATATGTTGAATGGGAATTTGACCACTAATGTTGTGCAAATTTCAGAGTAAACCAGGCACAATACTGCGAATGACACTCACAAACTTTATGTGTCACAGTCATCTGGATGTCAAGTTTGATAACAGCATCAACTTTGTGATTGGCAGGAATGGCAGCGGGAAGAGTGCCATCCTCACTGCACTCATTGTTGGTTTGGGAGCGAAGGCTACAGTCACCAATCGGGGCAACTCCATCAAAGGTGATACAATTATTACTGGTTACAATGAGTGTCAATTTGACGTTGTAATTTGTTTCATAATTTCAGGTTTCATAAAAGCTGGTGAAAAATCTGCCAGCGTATCGATAGTGCTGAATAATGCCGGTCCATTTGCGTACAAGCACGACGTGTACGGAGATTCCATCGAGATCGTGAGGAGCGTCACGGCGAGCGGCTCCTCGCAATACAAAATAAAATCGCATAGCGGCGAAGTGATGTCGAAGAACAGGAAGGAGATACAGAACGTCGTGTGCGGCTTGAACATTCAGGTGGACAATCCGATATGCATCCTCAATCAGGACACGTCGCGCAATTTCCTCAGCAGCAGCGATCCGAAGATGCGGTACGATTTGTTCGTGCGAGCCACTCGACTGGACATCCTCTACGAGGAGTACAAGCAGGGCAACAGACGACGCCAGAATTCGCTCGAAGTGTACCAGGAGAAGCAACGATTGATACAGCAGCTCGCCAACGAGATCGAGGAGATGCACAGGAGACTGGAGACGCACCAGAACATCGATAGGACGAGAATGAATTTGCAGACGCTCGAGGTGGAGTTCCTTTGGGCTATGGTATGTGTGTGCGATCCGAACGATAGTCGTTCGTACATTTTCAAAGTTCTATCTATCTATAAAGGTGGTCGATGCCGAAGCAGAGGCCAAAAAACAGAGGGCTGTGACTGACAGGTGCTTGGCGGAGAGTACGAACCTGGAGGACATCCACATGCGAGGCGATGAAATTATGAAGGAAATTGTGGATAAAGTCCAGTGAGTAGAACTTACAAGAAGATGTAGTAGGTAATTTTGTTTCATTCTTTTGTGTGTGTTTCTGTGTGCTTAGATCGTTCAATCAGAATATCAAGGAGCTGAAGGATACGTTGGACAGTCAGGATAAGTCAAGGAAAGAGTGCATCCAGCAAACGAACGTCTTGCAACAAAAACTGATGGAGAGGATGCGAGATAAGATGGCGCTGGAGCGTGAGATCGAGCGGAAGGAGGTGGATAGACGGGGACTGAAAAATGAGATAGAGAACTTCACCAGCAAGTAATTTGAATGTTGAAGATCCGTTGCTAACGTTGCTTATTTTCTTGTTGTTGTTGTTGCTGTCGTTGTATGTAGGATGAGCGATAGGCAGAAGAACAAGCTGGAAAATCTGCGTAGCATCGCGGATCTGGAGGAGAAGTTGAAGCAGATGCAAGAGATGAGGGTCACATTCCAAAACGAAAAGTTCCAGAGCGACAGCGATGTTAAAGCGAAGGAAGACGATCAGGAAGCGATGCTGAAGGATCTGGAGACGGCGAAGAGCAAGCTGAATAGATCGAAGGAACATCTGAGCGCAATGAGACGCGAGACGAACAACCCGTTGGCCCCCTACGGTAGGAACACGATCAGATTGAGGCAGATCATCGACGCGCACAAATCGGACTTCCGAGAGATGCCTAGAGGTCCGCTCGGTGCGTCCGTCTCGGTGAAGGATCGCAAATGGACGGTCGCCATCGAGGGTTTCATAGGGGTGGCGCTGCTGCAGGCGGTAGCCGTCGACAACGACGACGATCGGAGGGTGCTGATCCAGCTGATGAACAAGTACATGCCGGAGATGGCGAAGCCGTTGATCATCACCAGCAAATTCTTCCATCAGGTGCACAACGTAGAGCCGAACATGACGAGGGCGCCTTCCGAAGGATGCGTCAGCTTGTACGAGGCAATCTCCGTCAACGATCCGGTCGTGATGAACACCCTCATCGATCAGCTGGCCATCGAAGGAATCCTCCTCATAGAAAGCGACGATCTTGCCATCGATCTGATGAGCAAAGGTGAGCGGGTGCCGAGGAAGTGCGCGCAGGGCATCACCCAGAAGGGCGACTCCTATTATCCTTACCCGAACTACCGGACGTACTGCACGCGATACCGCAATTCGAGATTCCTTCAGGTCGATCGCGAAGATCTGATCAGGCAGCTCGAATCGGACATCCAGGGGCACGAGACGAATAGAGATGAGCTTGACGTGACGTTTGCGAAGGCCAAATCAGAGCTCGACGAGAAACGCAGGTATTCGGCGGAGCTGAACCACAAGTTGGAGACTTGTCAGACGGGCATCAGGAGGGCGCAGAGAAAGTTGTCGGAATTGCAGGAGAGTATCGAGGAAACGGAGCTGGGAAACGTGCAGGAATTTGTAAGTTTCAATTGCACATCGCATGTAATAAACACACTAAATAAAATGTTTGCAATAGGAGAACGAGCTGATGGAAGTGCAGAGAACCGTCGACGCGATCACAGAGAAGAAGGAAAAAATTGAGGAGGCCATCGCGCAGCTTCAAAAGCAGCTCGATTCCAGCGAAGAGAATCGTCAGCAATGGGACAGGGCGATCGCTGCGATCGACGAGCGTATACAACCGATTCAGGTAAGTTCATTCATTCCTTCATTCACTCGTCGAGTCGAGTCACGTGAAATTGAAGAAATTGCTAGAAACTGATTTGTTGTTAGGATCGAATTCGCGAGCAATTAAATAGGAAACTGGAAATACAGGTGAGCAAAGATAAGAGCAAAAGGAGGATACTGCTGGCGAAGCAGAAGGTCGAGGAGGAAACGAAAGTATTGATGGAGTTGGAGGGAAACGTGAAGGAACGTATCGCGGAAGCTTCTTCCCTCGCTGACCAGAGACCCGAGGAAATAAGGTGAGAAGAGTTGATATGCGTGCACATACTGATATTAATGTGCGTGTGCGTAATTATTGTAGGGCCGTTCCGGTCGTGGTCGAGAAGATGAAAGAGTTGCAGAGCACTATACGTCGCATGGAGACGGAAACTGGGAATTTGGAAGAGCTGATGGAGATGTACAAGAGCAAGTCGAATGTGCTAAACAGGACGAAGGAGATTCTCGATCGGATCCACGAGGATTTGGATATGCTGACGGCCGCCTACCATCATCGCAGACGGCTATGCAAGAACACGCGCGAATACTTTGAGACATTCATCGGTCACTGCTTCGGCAAGTTCCTCAAGTGGCGGCAGTTCCAGGGGAATCTATCGATTAATTTCGAGGAGGAAACGCTCGACATGGTCGTGATACCGCAGCACGGCAGCCAAGGCAAGACGCAGACGACGAACCTCTCCGGTGGCGAACGTTCCTTCTCGACGGTCGCCTTCCTCTATTCCCTCTGGCAATGCTTGGATTTTCCATTCTACTTCCTGGATGAATTCGATGTGTTTATGGATAAGATGAATCGGGCCCGAGTCATGGAGATACTCATACATCACGCCAAATCCAACAGCGACACGCAGTACGTATTCCTCACGCCGCAGGACGTTGCCTTCCTGAAGGATAACATGGACGTCGCCCTTCACAGGTAAACAACACACCAACACCAAACGATATTTACTAATTATGTTTTTTGATAGATTGGAGGATCCAACGAGGCGAATATCGTCGACTCAGTAATTCAAATATATTTTTTTTTATAAAAATGCAAAGTATAGTGATGTGAGTATGTATGTATACACTATTTTTACTACATAAAGAATTGTTACATTATTTTTAAGTAAATACATACATGTATTATTTGTAACCTGTTTTCTAATATTCCACCGTTATTTACTATTCCATTCAAATCAACACGTACTTGTTCATTTGGTTGCCTACGATGCTACTGAACTTATCGTCTGTTTATTTATTGACTATAATTAATACGTTTACCAATTACATGATGAATTAAATCATCACTGCTGCATATAGATATTTTGCAAACGATCAACATTTCCTAATAAACAAACAACACGGGAGAGTCATGATGTTAGTGAGTACACTAATGACCTTTAGTACACTAATGATCTTCTCATGTTTATTAATTATCCTTTTCCTCCCGCAGATCGGTTATTTTGCATTACGATGCACGAGCCAGTGTTTTTCGGGGAATTTCTGGAAATGATTAAGCATCGCATCGTAATATTATGTCCGTACCGTACGAGTGGTGTGGTGTGAGCAAGCGAGCGAAATTTCACAAGTATACGTGCGGTTTTTCGTTGAAATTGCATTGGATTGAGTCATCCATTTGTTAAAAACCTGGCCTTACCGCCGGCACCGCCTTCTTCGCGCTTTGTTCGTAAACTTTATATTTTGCAGAAAAACGTAATGTCTCGAGCATTTCGAATAAGAAAGGTGATATGTTGACTTATGTAATGCAAATTCGCGGAACGAGCTACTCTATTTGCAGAAAGAATAATATTATATCAATTTTTTTCGTTTCCTGAAAGAAAATTCAAATAAATATAGAGAAGACGATGATGGAAGAAACGAATGAACAATGCATATCCATCCATCTAGTGCAGGTTGCGCGACGACCGTTGCCAGGGTTACGAGATGTTTGTGTGTGTGCGTGGAGTTGTTACGTGTTGCATCGCGTATGCTTCGTTCGTTTGTTGGAACGGTGAGGTGAGGTGAGGTGAGGTCTCGAAGACACAATGACAGAGGAAGGTCGAAAGGGAGATTCCGAGAGTGAGAGAGAGAGACGGTGGTCCGCTCCGACCTGTCGCGCGCGCACACGCACACACACACGCATTTGTACAGAAAAAGAGAGATAAAGAGACCACGCAAGCAAGTGCGAGTAGGTAGATAGGTGGGCAGATGGGTAGGTAGGTAGGTAGGCAGGCAGGAAATGTTGGGAAAGGTGCATTTATGTATTCAATGGAAGGATAGAGCATCGCTGCCGCCGCCGTCACCACCACCGCCTCCGACGATCGTATTTATAATAGGAATGGAGATGTACGAATCTGCCTGCGTACAGGCAATATGGAAAGTTTAGATTTTCAGAAAACTGGACTGGATTCGATTATTGTATTATTATACACATTCGTATTGGCATTTCGATCGATTAACTGTAAATCAATTTACCTCATGCGATGAGGTAATTTTATTAGCATTAGATTGATTCATCGTCCAAACATGACTAACAAACAAAACAAAACAAAAAGACACCGAATTAACCAATCGATATTTACACAGGACTATAGATTAATTTTAAATTGAGAGAGAGAGAGAGAGAGGTGTGATGAACATATAGGGGAAATCCACTAATGTTTGGGAAACTCTGTTGGGTGTGTGAGGAGGAGGAGGCGGCGACACCTGCGTGCATCGGTTCGAAAACGTATTTTAAAATCGCCGCGTGCCTTTGGACTTTGAACCTTTCGCAAAAGCGAAAGCACACACACACATACACACACGCATAGATATTTCTGAAGGAGTGACTGAAAGAGGGAGAGAGAGAGAGACTTCACGAAGACAGGTTTTCGAAATGTGTTTTATTTTCTTTGTGTCAAATTCTCGCTCTCTCTCTCTCTCTTTCTTTTTTTGTATTCTTTTGCACGATGTCGTCTTTGTCTCACGGTTGGATTTGTTCCACGAAAGTCCCCCTTATTTATTTATTTTTCTTGGAAAAGTTTGCGTGCGAGAGCGTGCAGAGGCGGAGGTTCTTATGCATGCATATATGTGTGTGTGTGTTTGTGTGTGGGAGAGAGATGAAACGAGGGAGATTCCGTAGCGATCAAGTGGGCGGTCAGCGCGGGGTTCTGGCTCTGGCTGCTGTTGCCGCTTGTTAAAGGGAAACGTCGGTTGCAAGAGAGAGAGAGAGACAGAGAGTGTGAACGATATGGGGAGTGATGTGGGTGCGAGCAGGATGGACGATCGAGTGGAGGAGATTCCGATGGTTCAGAGAGGAGCGATCGGCGAGGTCGAGGCTTTTACGTCATCATAGCGCGCGCCGGCGACCCAAAAGGACCGGACCGACCGATCGCTTCTGCTGATGCCGATGTTGTGCGGCGGGACGGGGGAGGCAGGCAAGGTGTTCGAGAGTGAGAAAGATGGGTTGATGGGTTTGAATGCGAAATAGAGAGAGAGAGATATGCAGAGGACAGTAGAATTGTCGGAAGACGACGGCGATCGTCGTCGTCGTCGTCGCCGCAACGACTCCGGTTGATCGGGGTTGAAGTGGGGGAGGAGGTGGAAGTCGACGACGCTTGATAGGCGGTATTCCTGAGGGACGCGAGGGGAGACGGACGCGCGCTCGTACACATCATGCCATGCCATGCAGCAGCATTACGGTACGGTGCGGTGCGGTGAGGAGAGGAGCGGAGGCGGTTTTCGTGTAGAGGAATCAACACGGCCGAGCGAGAAAACGCGAGAACGGAACGGAAACAACACACACTCGCAGTAAACATGGCGCCGCGCTAGGCCAGCACACAAACACATTCACACAGTCACACATTCAAATTCTATACATATATTGTAATATTAAAGTCGTAGAAAGAAACGAAAAGAAGGTGTGAAAGAAATCGGGCAACCTAACTTATTCCATAAGTGTCTTTTCTTACTCATATCACAATAATAACCAACGAGAATCACCGATGACAACATCACCGAGTGAATACGAGGAGGAGCGGAGGGACCGGGATTGCCGGAAACGCAACCGAATGCATGCATCAGCACCACACACTTCGTAATCATCGGTAATTATTGGCAATTATTGGCAGTGCGAAGAAAGAATAATCTGCGAGGAGGATACCTCTCCTCTCCTGTACACCTCCTCCCCCACATCCATACACCTATCCGGGGTTGTTGAAAACAAAACACTAGAAAGACGCCTCCCACTTGCGTGCGTGTTTTGTTCGTGAAACAAGTGCCAAATAACGTAACAAACGAGGCAGACGTGAATGCACCAGCAGCAGCAGAAGCAAACAACAATAATAACAATAGTAGTAGTATTAGTAATAGTGGTGCGAGGGCAGGAAAAGAGTAAGGAAGGAACGACGGTAGGGAGGAGTTCCACCGCGAAAATACTGGAGTAGTGAGTGAGCGAGCGAGCGAATGAGTGAGTTAATAAGTGTAAAAGATAGAAAAAGTAGAGTGCGAGAGAGAGAGAGAGGGAGAGCGCGAAAAGAGGAGAGGAGTTTCGGGCGATAATCGGAGAGTGTTGTTGTTCGGGCTCCGAGCAAGCTGCTAGTAGTAGTAGCATGTCACTTCGCTGTCCCGAGATCCGTTCGCCGCAGCTGAAGGAAAAGAGGACCAACATCAGCAGCAGCAGGATCAGAGTGTGCGTGCGTGAAGCAACAGCAGCATGTGTGCCAAAGAAGAGGACCAATCGATGGGATTAACAATTTGAGGAAAAAAAACAACAACCACCACCACGAAACATATACATTTGCAAGAAGAAGAGGTACGTGACACGATTGGCGGACGACAATTACAAATACATCTGATTATTATGATGATGATGATGATGAACACATCATAGTCATCATCATTATCATCAGTTGAGAGTGAGTGAGTGAGTGAGAGAGAATCAGCGGTTATTTGTATTTCAGATTATGTATGTATGTATTTTATTTTGCACGGTATTGTACTTTGGCGCCGTGTCGACTATCACTTTGGCGTCATACGCTGTCTGTGCCGTCTCGGCCGCTGTCTCTTGCTCTCCTCTCTCTCTCTCTCTCTCTCCCTCCGACCGCTCCAAATTCCTTCGCGCTCTCTCTCTCTCTCCTTCTCCTTCTCTTTTACCTCTTTCCTCTGACACCTCCTCCCACCTCACCGCCCTCTCGCACCCGCGGATTCCGATAGCGAGGAAAGAGAGATGGATGGATTTAGAAATGGTGAGCGCGCGCGAAAGAAGCAACGAAAAGAGAGAAAAAAAAAAGAATGCTCATGCACACACACACACACACACACACACATGCAGACCCACAGCAGGCTGAGAATTAGACAGAGACAGCGAGAGAACCGGGGATCTCCCCGCGCCGATGACCCCCCTCGTCAGCGCGCACCCACAAAAACATTCAGCCTCATGACCAACACAACCGACCGACCAACCGACTGACACGACGATTTCGCCTTCTCTTCCCTGCATAAACGAGCAATCTCTCTCTCTCTCTCTCTCTATTTTTATTTTCTTTGCTCCTTTCCCCTGAAACGCACACAATATAACAACAATTTTACGCACTGAACTGCAAAATTTTGACGAGTTACAAAACTACGAGAAACATATTTTTAAAAAGAAACAACAATCGAGAGTGCATCGGAATTTGAAAGTCATGACTAACGAGATTACCGTTGCTGTTGTTTTGTTTGTTGTTTTTATTCCATTCGATTGTTTTTCGCCGCGCGCGC